AAACTTGGCCCGACCCGGGACTCGAATCCAGGACCTCCGGGTGTACAGCCGTACATGCTAGCCACTACACCACCGAGGCATATTAATAATGAACAATTCAAGGATTAATAAATTATTTAAGCCTCATGTCATTATCATTTAACTATTAAAATCGAAATTCAAATTGAACTTTCTTGTTCGTATTTTAATTTCCAAAGTACAAAATAATTTCATTAAAAAATTAATTCAAAATATACCATTCTTGAAGTAAAATCGGGCAAATAAATGAAAATATTTAAAAATATTAGACGTTTTTATTCTATAAAGAAACAGCCTTACACACTAATAACAGTTAGGCATAAGAAGTAGAGCGACCTACATACAATATTGGCAAACAAATGTTCCATTGAAAAAATATATTTTGTACAATAATTTATCTAATAGTCTCTCATCTACTATCACAGTCCAAAGCTTATGACGACTAAGCTGCAGATTGAGAATCGCAAATGACATAGTTAAAACTGCAACTTAGTGACGAAATTGTTCCATTTTGAAATGAATTATAAGAGAATAACAGCTTTATGTAAATTAAATTCTTAGTTATTTTTCATATTAATTTGTACACTTCTTTCTCATCTTGAGATATTTTAAATTATTGACCATTTAAAATATGCAATGAAATATATACATACGTATTATAGAAGTAATGTATACAACTAATATATAACAGATTATATATAAATAAAAAAAAGATTTTTGCATAAACGCTATCGAATTTAATCTTAATTAAATGCTATATTATATTATGTACTTTCTGATAATGTATATAATATTTATATATAATGAAAAGGTACATATTATATGTAATTTAATTCGGTGTGGGACTCTGAAATAATCCACATCTCAATGATTTTTTAAGTAAGTGATGAAGAAAAATTAATTTTCGCAATATTCCGTGAGTTATACTTTTTTTAAATAAAAAAATACCTTTATACATGAAAAGAATATAACATATCTTGGTTTAATTATACTAATTCGAATTCACACAATATAAGAGAAACGGGATTATTCAAGTTTATACCAACAACAATATTTAAAATATTAAAAATTGTAACGTTTTCAATTTTGTAATGTTTAAGCGAATGTGTAAAACCATATTTTCGATAGTAAATTCGTTGTTTAGAGCATTGTTGTTATTCCAAAACACCTTTAACTTACATTGTAAAAAAATTTAAGACTTTTTTATTATAATAATATATTAAAGTGTTTAAGTATATATTATTTCCGTTCAATTGAATAAATTAAATAAAATAAATTAACATCAAACGAATGTATTTTTATTAAATTGAATACAAAATGTCACCGATTTTTTTTTTACAAATTCGAAGTATTTCTAATAAGCCGTAGCCTGAAGAAAGTAATGAAGTAAATTCCTTATGGGGACCGAGCGTGAAATGTAGAGGGCAGCACTATTGTCCCCCTAGTGTTTCATTCCCGAAGATAGTGAGATCAAAACATTCATTTATAAAACACAGATTATTTATAAAAATTGAAAAAAATATAAAATATCGATTTGAACCAGTTACCAATAATATTGTAAATGGTTATAATAATGAGAAAGTAAAAAAATATTCAAGTCCAACCATGTTTATGGTGCAGTAGAAAAAAGTAATAAAAGTGAGACTGTCTTAACCGCAAAAGTTGTACCACAAACGAATGTGTCAAATGTTTATGATGTAAAAATTATGGTATAAGTATGTATAAAAAATTTACTTTAAAAATATATTTTTTTTATAATATTAGCGAGCAAACGAGCAGGCGGGTCTCCTGATGTTAAGAGATTACCGCCGCCCATGAACATTTGTAGCACCAGAGGCACCACTAATGCGTTGCCGTATTTAGTGTAATCAAATTAAAAAACAACTATTTTTTCTTGAGGTTGACATTATTGAAAAATGATCCCAATAGATTCAGGTGTTTGCCGCTAGTTGGCGTAAAAGTTTAGACGTACGGTCGATATATACCTTATATACCTTAAATTATGTTAATGACAACAAAAATATAGACAATAAGATTAAGCAACACAAAACATCAAAAAGTTTCATATACGTTCGTATATTATGAAACAAAACTCACCTTACGATTTACATCGAAATCACTTTTTATACGGTCTTATTTTATAGTTAAGTAGTAATTATGTTATGTTTTTTTTAATAGCAAAGGCAAGACAAATAAGTTAATTTTCCCAATAATTATATAAAACTCTATTACAATATTAAATGCATGAAATGTTAATCTAAACATTTTATAATATTTTTATAATAAATTAAAGAATTCTCATTAAAACTTATTACTTATATACTACTATTACACAAAAAGTCAAAATAAAAACCTTTATGACAGGTGAAAAGAAAAATGGAGAACCGATGATGACCAACTACAAAATAATATCTATTTAAAAACTTATATATACAACTTTTAACGTTGACAATATGAAAGGATTGTATTGTTCTTAATTCACATTTTCATGACATACCTATACAATAATCTAACAGATCATTATATATTATTAACGATTTACTCAAGCTTCGCTCGGGCGCTTTAGGAACGCATAAAAGGCAAACGTCCAAAGAAAAAAAAAATTTTTTTGAGCCAGGAACTTTTGCAGACGTATACAGAATAACCCACCAAGTTTCATTATAATCGAATGAATTGGTTAGGAACGTATAGGGGACAAACATACGAACATTATTTTTTATTTATGTACCTAGATAGAAGACATTATATTTAAAACTGTATCCCTGCCAATCCCCTACTGAATCCAATGAAATCAATACAGACCAGATATATATACTTTTATCTCAGTAACAGGTCTAATTTGATCGTTTTTAGATATTTTGATGTATATTTTATAAAAAAGGGGGTCATCCATAAATTACGTCAAACGTTAGGGGGGAGGGGTGGCGTGGGAGGAGGGATGGCGTGGGGGAGGGGGCTTTGGGGTCAACGAAGTGTGACATTGTGTGACAAGAGGCAGCGGGGAGTCATAAGCTTCGTGACGTCAATTCGTGTGACGTAATTTATGCATAGCCTCTATGATATATGCTTGTAATTCTATTGGTCCATGTTATGACACTGGACAATGCTTAAAAATGACGGAAAAATATTTGTTTCGATTCTAATCTCTCGCAATGACTTCTTAAAGTGCTATAAGTGAGCAGTTTTCCATTATCTGATAATGAATTGCCACGTAGGAGGTTAGTTTTTATATTTTATTCTTACTAAGCAATTATTTTTCAAGCTTTTCGCTAGTTGAGCACAATTCATTTCATCGAGATGAAGAAGACTTTGATAACGAAATTTTTTTAACAATAATTAGATTAAGATGCTAATATTATTTTTTTTAACGTAGCTGTCATAATGTTTATTAAAAAATCGACTAATAAGCTTTCTTTTTTAATTTAAAGTTACTTGTCATTTTATATTTTTTTTAAAGTGATTCCTATTTTATAAAAATATAGAAATATATATTATGTTCATTCAATATCAAACAAAACACCGACGAAACGCTATTTTTATACAAAACAATACTTAAAAACCTTTAAAGATTTTTTTGTACACTGAATATTTTATCTGTGATTTTTTGCTATAATGAGGTTATATATTTTGTAAATTTATTTTATTTTGTACTTAGTTATAAATTCCTTTAGGTATGTTCATTTTGATTGGCCAACTATGAAGTAACTACAAAGATTTCTAATATAAAATTGTATTTTCATTGAGAAATAATAATTAAAATATTCTCATTTATACAATATTCATATTTACATTATGAAGTTATATTATATTAACTGCCTCGGTGGTGTAGCGGCTAGCAGGCTAGCATGTACGGCTGTACACCCGGAGGTCTTGGGTTCGAGTCCAAGTTTAGTTATTGAGTCTTTCTGTGTAGTAAGTCTCAGTAACAGCCCGGAGTTGGGAATTTGGCAGTGTTTCACCCCGGTGCCTCGGAGAGCACGTAAAGCCTTAGTTCCTGCGCCTTAACTCTCACCGGTCGTGTCTCGTCGTCCCACCGGAGTATGAGAGTGACAGAAACAGAGAGTGCACGTTGTGTCTGCGCGTACACTTGTGCACTATAATATCTGCTGCGCAGTTGGCTAGTCTCAATGAGAAAATCATCATCATATTATATTAATTAATAATCTCCCCTCCTTAGCCATGAAGATAAATATTATTCCTAGAACATATGTTTTTTTCTATATCTATAAAGCAAAAGTAAAAGTGACTACTGCTAGTAGTACTTTAAGTATGTATAAGATCCTATCAAATTTTCGAAAGACATGTGAAGTCCATCAACTGTGTGCACATCAACGGTGGACTGTGCCCAGTAGTGGGACGTTAAAAAAGGGCTAAGTACAAAGAACTCTAAATATGTACACTCACAATTACAGATATGACAAACAAAAAAAGTTTTCCTCAGGACAGCAATATCCTTTAAATTATATCTGTCTTGATATATGAAATATAGCAATGCACAATTTGTTCTCACCTTATTAAATATAAAAAAAGGTTTTTCATATTTAAAATTCCTTTCCATTCTTAATAATCATTCATTTTTTTGTGACTAATTATAATAAATAATAATTTAATATATGTATCTCCATTACGGGGAATTATTATTATCTCAATATTAATTCAGTTCTAAATATTCAATGTACAAAAATAAAACATTATAAATCTGAATGCCCAAATAATTTCTAAATTATAAAAATAGAGTTTGTCACATTCAAAAGTATATATATTAAACGCTGATATACCATATAATTGTATGAAGAAAATTTAATCTTTAAATTATTTTTTTAATTTGAATTTTATTTGTGCCCCAAAAATATAGTATTTTTTTACCATTTATTTGATTTGACATTAAATTAACTTTAGTTTAAGCAGTCCTAATACCATTTGGTATAACTTGGCTTTTTTATGCTAAAAAGCAATATTTCTCACTGGTTTGTAAATAATTATAATATTGATTTGTTACCATTACTCGACCAATTGATTAAAGTGTCTGAAGGTCCATCCTCTATGTCTAATAGGAGATTGTTTTTAGATTCATCTTTAGAACCATTTAGTACAATATCTTCGTCATTCACTTGCAAATTTACATAGGAAAGTGATTTTTTCTTTTGTTCCAGGTCAAATATCTCCAAGTCCTCATCCTCATCATCATCATCAGATTCCATCGTCAATGGAATTCGGGCCAGTTCAAGGTTGTCTCTACGGTCATCAGATTGAAGAACGCCATATCGGAATTGATTAGCATCATTTGCATTATGTGTGCTATTTGAATCATATTTATTATTTTTCTTTCTGGAAAGTCATATAAAGAATATGGAATTAATAGAATGTTTAATGTTAAATTTTCTGAAGATATTTGGATTATTATTTACTCAATCTTGTGTATCACTCAACTTATTCACATCACATAGGATATATGTATTTATATCACAAACGATTCTCTTAAAATACTGGTACAACAATCAAGAACATCAAAATCACATTTCAAAATCATAAAGCAAATACGTTTTTTATCTAGTTCAAAGCCTACACAGGCTTTTTGATTGAAGATATTAACTTATCAATATAATATAATCCCTAGCTAACCATGGTAAGATATAAGGCTCTTGTCATATGCAAAAAAATTTGCCCAAATAGGGATACTACACAAACTCTGTAGTGGAAATGTTCCACACATTGATGAAAAAAAAAGTGTTTTCTAACCTCTTACTCTAAAGCATACCTTATGCTTTGTACTCAAATCTTTCCTTCAATAAACATAAATTGAGGATCAATTGTTATGTATCAAATACAAGGTTAACTTTAACTTGCCTAAAGAAGTCAGCTAACAAAATACAATCTAACAATGAAACAGAAATTAAGATTCAATTAAGCAAAAATTAAAATTCAATTAAATTTTCTCATTAATTATATAAAAAAACCAAATTAAGATAAGACTCTGTGGTGTATAAACATTATCACCGGTTTGGAAAAACAATCCTATCAAATAGTAAAATAAATAGATTACAAAAACATGTTATTTTTATGATTCATTGTAATCTTATTTCAAGTTAACCAATCAATATCAACCATTGAATTATATATAAAACTATCAAAAACTTTAATATTTTGTCTTCTACCCATATTGAAAAAGAATTTGTTCTATAAAAAAGATTCCGATGAATTGATAGGGTCCTCCTTTTGTCCCCCCCAACGTGCGTTCACCTTGTCGTGGTGGGGGGGCTCAGTAGTGTACTCGCGAAGCCAAGAAACGCACAGGGAGGTGGCCCGCTTCAGTGGGCGGTGGGAGGCGGCCTTCTTCGGAGGGTGGTGTACCATGCGGGTTGCTCCTGGTACTTGTCTGATAGCAGAGTAGACCGTGGAGCAACCCCATGGTTGTTGTGGTCTGCTTCGGCAGACCTGCCGTCGGGGCGTCGTAGTTGAATGCGTAAGCGATCCTGCGACGCCCCATTAAGACGGGGGAAGGTTTTGTTGGGTTTTAGTGGGTAGTACTGGCTTCGCCGGTGAGTCCCACACTTCGTGCGTAAATGCATTTCCCAACGTTAAAAAAAAAAAAAAAAGGGTCCTCCTTTTGTAAGTCAGTTAAAAGTGGAGTAATCTTCGTAATTACCTGTAAAATATGAAGTAAGCAGCAGCAAGTATTGCAAAACCACCAAAAACTATTAAGCCTCGCTTAACAACTCCTGGACTGTTTATCTGAAGCAAATTGTCCGAGTCAGTCGTCGTTGCATTCGTTGCTGCAATTGTTATATTCTGTGGTGATTTTGTATCATTAATTGCTGCTTTTGTAATATTTTTAGTATCTGTAACTGAAATATTCAAGAGTAAGTACTAAGAAATATATTGTTTACTTATCAATTAATTTCTAACAAAAATTAACTACAATAATGGTCAATTAATTGTAGATTTTATTTATAATGTAGTAAAATAATCTATTCTTCATAATGCACAAGTATTATAAAGTTTGTCTGTATACAATTAAAATTAAAAAATAACTGTAGGTAATGCACTTTGGTTATTTATTTATATGCATCAATATAAAATATAAAACTGCTACATTTCAAAGGCAATTTTTGATTGTCTTTTATCTTACTACTATTATAAATGTGAAAGTTTGGATGGATAGATGTTTGTTTCTCAATCATGCCAGAACAGCTGAACAGATCTGGATGAAATTTGGCACAGAGATACCTAAAATATAGTCTGGAATTGCATAAAGGTTACTTTTTATTCTGAAAAATGTATGGTTCCCATGGGGTAGATTTGTTTTTGTTTTTCACATATCTAAGGATTGACTATCTATTTCAAACTTTTAAAACATACCTACGGACAAACCCGAGAGAAACAAGGGTGGTGAATATTTGAACAAGATATTATAGTAGATACAATTTCTGTTAGATAAATATAGAAGAAAATGTACTACGGCATTGTCTTAAAATAAGTAAAAAATCTAGAAGATAATAATTTTACAGAAAACTAAATTAATATTTTTTCCTATCTATATGCAACAGAGTATATTATACGACTTTTCTTTATGTTATAAGTATAAATAGTTCTGAAATATTTTAAATATTACAAATATTAAATTGATGGGAAGGAAAAATAAACAACTAAGTATTCAAAACTGTTTACCCATACTGATTTAAAAAAAAATTTTTTGAAATAAGTATAGATAAACAATTTTTAATACTTAGTAGATAGCATTGTTACATTTATTAAAATTTAATCAACACAATCTTGAGATTTCAAAAAATGTTTGCATATTACATGCTTTTAAAGCAAACTTAATTAAAAAGATTTTTTACAAGTATACAACTACCTTTTGATACTGTGATATCATAATATAAATCATAGCAAGAATTAATTATTAGTATTTCATAGGTCATACTCATACTTACTTTTAGGACTATTCAAAGGAACACTACCATTTTGAACTTTAATATCAGTTACATTTGAGGTTTTAAGCAATTGAGTAGGTTCTTGAGATTTAGGTGATTCAGAAAGTGAATTATTTGTAGGTGGATTGACATTAACACCACCACCTTCGCTTAATCCAACTGGTGGTTTTGATTCTGATTCGGAATTGACAACTAACAGTTTCTTGTTTTCTTCTTCAGGATTATTTTGTGTTGGTAAAATTGCTTCCCGCTTCAGAATGTGTAATTTTGCGTCATTTTTATAAGACGGCCACTGCATATAGACATTATCTACATTGGTTTTAAATACTTCTCCATTGTTAGTAACGTAACTCGCATTACTACATGTAAGGATAAGAAACAAAAGTCCAACACAAATTATCATATTAGATGTTTTTAGTTTGATACATCAGACAATTATCTCTACTATTTTAAGAAAGTGAGGTTTCTTGTGCATTTGTTTAATTAAACCATTTATCCTGTAAGCAATTATACAATCTGTGGCCTGCGAAAGTATACAAACTTTTCGTGAATCGTGATTCGTGACGCGCAACAAATAGTATAACTAATTAACAAAAAAATCGCACCCACAATAATACAAAGATTACGTATAAACCATACTACCTATATTTCAACTAAAGTCTCAATCGTCAATAACTCAATTTTAAAGAAATTAAAAATGAATATTCTGTTTTGCATAAAACTGAATACCTATTGACATTTAGCAATATATGACGTTTATGATTAGACAATGACAACTGACAATCATGAACAGATTCTGTTAGAATAAAGACCTACATAATTAGTTTATTATACCACATGAGGAAGAATTTTGCTATTTTCTCACGCAAGATGTCGAGATCACTTATATATCAACTCAATCCTCAATATATTGTAAAGCTCTATAGCGTAGATGGTTTTTTGTTTTATTTTATTTTAAATTTAATTAAAATGACAAAATGTGCAATGCCAAAATGCAACGAAAATGAATATAATTTGTTCCGAAAAGACAAAAACTGAAGAAATCGTGATCAAGAGCAATAGGCGACCAAAATTGGCGAAATCACATAATCTTTATATTTAAGCTATATAGGCACCATTTTACAGAAAGTGATTTTAAAACTGTCAAATCGTCTATAGGCGATTTATTTTTTATTTTGTGGCTTTTTTACTAATATACTTTTACTTTAAACTACCTTATTTGTTTAAATTGCAGGTTTTCATTTACTACGTCGAAAGTTAAATGAGAATGCGGTGCCGTCTGTTTTACCTTAGTCTAAGGTTTTACCAACTTTTGCAGCTGCTAGGGGAGAAAGACTACGAAATAGAAATCTGAAAAAAGAGCTTTTCCAGAAGAATTTTCAAATTGTAGTAATAATGATACTGAAGTTCCAGGGAATGAACTTTTGGACATAAATAAACTACAATTTTCAAGTTATAGTGATATTCAAATCTATACATATAATTAAATTTGTAACTAAGCTGAATCTGTACATTAAATATTTTTGGGAAAATCTTTTTGAAATAAACATTATTATCGATACAGAGGCCGAATCTATAGTTTTTAGAATTTTTGTCTGTCTGTTACCGCATCACAGAAAAACCACAGGAGGGATTTTGATGAAATTTGGTATGGTGATAGCTAGTTATCCAGGTCAACATATAGGATACTTTTTGCCGCGGGAAAATGTCTCATTTCTGAGAAAAATACAAAAACTGCAATTTAAGAGTATACTAATATGTAAAACCTAAGAATTTGGTTTTTGGTCACCTGACCGCGGGCAGAGCCGCGGGCAATGCTAGTTCAGAATATAAACAATAAAAACAGTGCACAAAAGGTTGTTGGTGTTGTGGTCTGCTTCGGCAGACCTGCTGTCAAGACATCGTGATTGAGTGCGTAAGTGATCCTGCCCCACTAAGTCGGGGAATGTTTTATTGTGTTTTAGTGGTTGTACTGGCTTTTCTAGCCGGTGAGCCCCACATAACTACCTGTATATTACAGGTGGTACGCGTAAATGCATTCCCCAGATATAAAAAGGAGTAAAGTACCATTAAATCATAGGCTATTGCTATTCGTACTTAAATAGGACGAATAAGAAGAAACTACCAAGCTGAAAAATTATACTTTTAAATACCAAAGATTTTTAAGTTTTTATGTGTAAAAAGTGAATTTTAGGTACAGGAGTTTCCATATGCAAAAAAAATAACCTTTACCTACCGAGCTGAGCCGAGACCCGAGCTACTCATTCTACTTTTTTATTTATTAGTCGTCCTAAATAATTACTTTTATTCGTATTAAAGGACAAATACCACTCAACATGTATGGAACATGCCATACTCACAAAAAATCGCGTTTAAAGCATTAGTGTTTTTTTTTTCAAAAATGTGCTTGTTTGTTTTAATCTTATTTAGTATATTTTACTATTTTCTTACAGAACTTCTAATATACCGAAAATTAGAAGTTCTGTGTAGTTTCTCGTAATAGTAGTTAGTTCAGAAGAAATTGCTGTGTACGATACATATCGACAGTGATATACTTAACATTAAGAAAAAGAAATCTTACACATTATAATGTAAATACCTATCATAATGTTTTTATTTATTAATTCAATCCAAATACGCGTAGGTATTCATTATTAACAGATACCTCATTATGTGATCTTCTTTTTTTCGACTAAATAGCATAAATAAAACCAACAATGACATAAGTATTATTTAATTAATTCAAATAGACATTTATATTAATTTTACATTTAAAGTATGTAGAGTTTCCAAACTTTTTAATTTTTGGTAAGTATCTATAACACTGACTGAGTATCCACATAATAATGTTAAACCTAAGATACAGACTCGGTACATTTTGTTCCAAACATTTAGGTACACAGTAAATATCACTACAAAATTGAACAAGTTAGAAATAGTATAGATTTATCAAAGACTTACTATTAAAAATGTGGTTTTAAATATATCGGCAGTGATAAAACAAGCCAAACATGCATCCGCACCAATATACCGCCGAACGTTAAGTTATATTTTTATAATTCCAAAATGGTACTGACCATCAAAGAATTTTTATTCCATTTTTGATAAATTACTAAACTTTAACAATACAATTATAGATAATAATTAATCCAGTCAAAAACTTCGAACTACATTCACTCGAAACCTCACAATGTGAGCACACGTCACTCTGTTTCTAGAGCAATCAAGATACAATTAAACCTTAAAAGTTAATTACAAAATTAATAAATATTTTATAAATAATTTATATGACCTATTTATACAAAATCTGTAAAGTAGAAATGATATTGCGCATAACGCGTTCGTTAACTCCGTACGAATAGGTACATATCATAGGTATCACCTAATATGTAAAATAAGTCAGCCTATAAAAATAGATTGCACGTAAATTTATTACGAAAATATTTGCAGTGAGATTTTAACGCAAAATAATCTAAACTGTGATAATAGGTCATAAAAACACTATTTCAGACCAAATAATTTACGAAATACCATTAAATAAAAGCGTAAGATCTCTCGAGCTTCACAGATAGTGGTAATTTAATCGAACATCTATAAAGTTGTTATATCTAGAACAATAAATACTCCAAAACGTTAAATACGTAATGCCTAAGAAGAGTGCGAAATAGTGATAAAAGTTTTTAGATCGTTATGGCCCCTTGCAATAAAATCAAATACCCAAAGTATCAAGCAGTTGACTGCTATCCGTAAAATTCACAATCTGGTGTATCTGTAACTTTAAGTACATTTAATAAGATTTTATTTTAGACACGTCAACTATAATATATTCGTATGCAATATACCCTACATGCCTATCTCAAATAATTACGTAGCTCTAATAAATCTTCTGTCTGATACTTCCATATAGCAATATTAACTCTAAATCTTAATAGGTATATTATAATATTTCTCACATATTGAAATTCTCACGAGTATGGGTGTTTGATCTACATTGTTAACGTTGATAAATTAAGGCTCCCATGATTTCTATTGCTTTTCGCTTTACTTTGAACAATTTGAACTGACTTGACGAGTAAAGTAAATATTGTAAAATATTGTCAAATTTCAAAAATTCTTACTCTATAACCATGGCACTCAAATTATTTCTAACAAAGGAGGGAACTTTTCACAACTGGAGATAGATTATGCGAATGTGAGCAATAATTTAATACGTATTTGTTTTGTTTTTAAATCTCCCGACTCAGTCTTTCAAACAACTAAATGTAATTCAAATCTATTGTATTGTGGAATGTGAAAATAAAAATAAAATAATAATTGATAATATAGCCATAGGGTTTGAAATTATAAATCCAGTTATGATGTTGACATTGCCAAGTGGTGAACGACACGTTCCGGGAAAGCAATAAGGTATCCCAGTTCTACCGAATAAAACGAACATAATTCGATATTAACTCCTACTGTTACCTACTAACTATTATTACAGAATTAACTATCGAAAACTTTTAACTGGCAATAAAATACCAAACCTAAGTTTAAAATTGCTATCCCGGATTAGGACGAAATCGATAGTTACTTCCAAGTTCAATTAGGGCGCAAGTAATGTTGGACTTAAATTCTTCATCACTGCGGTCGTTCACTCCAAGCGCGCTTTGTAGCTTGTCTTCCAGATTTCAGCAAGGGTCACGGCTGAGTGGAAACGATGGAAAATGCAAAGCGGGAGAGTAAAACGTTGGACAAGTGACCAAGCAACGAAACCATAGAAATCCAGTTGCACCTGAAACATTTAAAATTATATGTTACTAATTATATTATCCCGTATGTGACTAAAATCAATAAAACTTCTAGATATACATTTTATGTGCAAACAAGCAGATACATGAATAGGTAGTTCTGAAAAATATTAATTCGGCTTCTGATAGGCATGTGCCTTATAGCATTTATGTAGACCATGATTTTTCAAAATGTAGCGGTTTGAAGCTTAGTTTGGCTTTATATTAGGTAAATAAAAGGACAGAGACATAAAAGGAGAGATTTTACCTCTGTATTAAAAAATAAAACAACAGATTAAATTTTTCTTGAACTTTCTTGAACTAATTTAATTAAAGTAATTACCGGGTTAGCGAGGACTTTTTGTGCTTCGAAAGTATAAATCAGCCACATGGTTACATTACAAATAAGCAGGAAAGTGACGGCTTGACGAGCTGGCTTGCTACGTTCTTGTTCTGGAAGGTGTACACGGCGACGAGACACATCAGCAATGAATAAAAGCTGCAGGACCACCTGAAATTTCCACAATTGAAATTAGTAAATTTATTCTCATTTAAATAAATTTAAACGAAAATACTGTTTCATAACTGTTTCTTAAGTCAAATATAAAAAAAAATGTTCAGAATAAAAATCATATTTACAGGCATTCAGTAAATGTTTGTAAATGTAAAAAGAACACTTCAATATTATAGAGTTAGAGTTAGAATTCTAGCGTGACTTAACTAGACTTTATTAGCAACTAAGCAATATAAAACTACTTATAGGTATATTTTCTAATGCGAGTTGATGTAAGAAACATTTAAAGTTTGAGGAAACAATTAATTATTGTGTAATAAATTAGTGAGATTGTTCAGAAGATACTCAACCGTTATGACTTTTAATGCCATTATAACATAAGTAACGGCTTCATGGTAATGAGTAAAAACAAATGAAAGTATGTATAATATAAATATTATAGATTTTTGTACCAACCTGAAAAACACTTAAGCATCCAGTAATCATGACCAATAGATTTGGTTCGTGAGTAAACGCGCCCATACCACCGGCGATCACACTGAACACGGCGTACACAAAGAGTCCAAATGCTGAGACACGGAGTAGTATATCATTCAGATCCGATTGCTCTTCTGAACGGAACTTCAACGATTGTACCCTGCGAAGAGGTTCGGTACAGGAGGAAGGATTTGAGCTCCATTGCATTTTTCTACCACTATTCAAATTATACAAAAACAAAGTAGTGGGCGCATAATTAAAATAAGGAAAACCAGTAATGGGAGTAAAAATATTAACATTGACAAATTTTAACACAAAATAATATGAACATATGTGGTGACACATGCGAAGTGTGTTGGAGCAGTTTTATTACATAGGAAACGAGGATGGGACGATGTAGTAGGAAATTGTGAGGATTAGGGGAAAAGAGACAAAACCAAAAATAAGATATGGAACTTAACAAATAATATTAAAAACAAATAACAGTAATAAGTAAAATAAAAACATATTTTCAATAAAAAACTCCAAATAAAATTACATGAATGTTAGTCACTTCATTATTTTCAACTATAAAAAGACATTTAATTGTTCTAATTTTGTTATTTATGTGCATGTGATTAACGAATACTATATTTTATAAGAAAAATGTATGACTAATATACGTAACCATTAGTTTAGTATTCTTACCGAATAAATCCGATTAGTATAGCGAAAATTGACAGGACCATGAGCGCGCAGTGAGATACATCAGCCAAGTAAATGGATAAACGTTTCAATTCTTGGTGTCTAATGAGCACGAAGAAGAGAATCAAGCAGATGAGCGATGCAACCAGGAGTAGGAGTCCACAGAATAGTCCTTTCGAAGCGCCAGCACAGTCGACGCGATTCCCACGTTGAGCTGCCGCTAATGCCGCTGCCCTGCGGGATAGAACAGCTTCCAGACGTCTTTCCAGATCTTCATCGTTGGCAACGCTGCAACCAAACGCGTACGCACACGTTTATTACGTATGCGATGGTTTTGGTGTTAATGTTAAGTTAGTGGTGCAATCAAAGTAAAACTTTTTTATAATGAATGAATACCACTACAAGTATATATATATACAATAATAATAATCGTCTACGCTTATGTATATATTTTTTAAATATTGTAATATTTACCTTGGATATCGTCCAATATGCTTCCACATTACATAAATAACAGCAGCTCCAATCAAAGAATATTCTATGATGAACGGATAAAGGTAAGGAGCTGAATCCGTAACTATAGTTCCCATTATTGGATTTCTACCACAAACAGTGGTATTATCGATATTTGCGATTAATGCTGCAGGATTTAAGGTATCGAAAGATTCGAAGATTTCTGTAGCATTATTAGCTGTAAAAATAATATAATTTGTAACGGTCGTCTAATCATTATTAATAATTACAAATATTCACAATAAATATACACGAGAAATATACTATTTAAATACAGTCTTACACTCAAAATAACGAAGACCAGTATTAAATAATTTAATGTAAATAAACATTTAAGTAGCTATTACTTTAAAATCCTTATGTGCAATATAAAACTAGACACCAACAATCAACATGCGTACACGTGAATACAAATGAATATAAAATGTTGTGCACCTAGTCCTACAAAAGAAAAACTTAAATAAAAAGACGCAAATAATAATTTCTACGGCGGGGAATCAAATGTGTAGATGGTGACACTCCGTCGACAAACCTGGTGAGTGTGGTGGTTCATCGACACGGTATGTTTCTATATTATTTCCCCATTCATCTTTTTCAAAGGGCAATGATCCAGTAGTGCTCGATGTCACAAAGGTGGACATAGTGCTTATAATCGGTTTCATAGTTGAAGAATAAAGCCATTGGAAAACTTCCAACATGGCTGTTTGCGTTTGTGTCACTTTATCAACTCCAACTGTTATCGGTGCAGGAGTAGAGGTTGTTGTAAATGGATTGTCATTTGGCCAAGAATCTTTAAAGTCTCGACCGAAAGCTACTCGTTCATACCCTAAAGTAGTCTTTATGGAGTCGATTATTTTGGATTTAGGATTGGGACCACCACCAATATTATAATAAGATGAAGTTGTAGTCGCTGAAAATTAGTCCAATGCTCGTTTGAATAACATACATGCAAAAATGAATGGATATTTATTTTAGGGGATATTATTTACGATTCTAAGAATTACAATGATTAAAACGAATACATACTCGTGGAGGGAGTTGTTGTAGGTGAGGCTGTATTGGTTGAAGTTATCACACTTAAAACTTGTTCACCAGTTGATTTAGCAATATTAGTAGCAGTTGACGCGATAGTAGTAGCAGCAGTTGTTAAAGCACCGAAAACTTTTCCAGAATGTCTCAAGGTATGTTTCCGGATGACTTCTATTATTACAAAAACACAAATTTGTTATTACACTTTTTAATAAATAAAGTGACATATATGTTTTATTCTAATATTATAACATGTCTTACTTCCAAGCACGCCTTCTCCGGGAACACCTTGAGGATTCCTCACATGATAATCTGTTATTTCTTTAAGTGATTCTAGGACCAACGTTCGAATCCATACACAAATATTGGTAGCAACAACGTGCATTAGACCGAAACGAGCAATTACTTTAAATCGATGGATGTTGAGCTGTAAATTTAAGTTTTTTTATAGGTATGTATACTTCAGTTATATATTTAAATCCATTCTATATTATATGATTAGAATCGGGTAACCACTAAGTACTTACACGGGAATTCATAAATATGAAGTACATTTGCATAAACGTAAACACCATTTGTAGAACTGGATTTATACCTTTCAAAATCAAATAGCAAGGCGATTCTAAGGGTAACTCAAAGAACGTCCCAAACTCTAAGCCATTATAAATCATTGTTCCAAGGCCAAAAGCTGCAATATAAAAATGCACGTGATTTTTTTATTGATCCCTAAAATATAATGTATTTCCAACAATACGTAAAAGAACATCTAATTTGAAATATCATAAATTACCAATAGCACCAATTCGGAGAAAGAAACTGCCATGACTGTGTTCATTTTGAGACGTTTTGCGTCGCCGCATCGGTCGTGCCACTGGTCCTGCTTCCAACTCCACCACATCTTGTTGCTATTTAAAAGAATTTTTTTTTGTAATTATGTATTTTTTTAAATAATATAAAATATCATTAAAAATCCTTTATAATAATTACTAATCGTTGTTGTCGTAGTTTTTGAAAGTAATTTAACTTTCAGTAATATTATTGGTATTTTGCCTTAAGTACTTTCAATTAAAAGTATGCAATCCCATAGTGTAATACGTTAGCTGGCTGCAGGTTTATTGTTACTACTTTTATCTTGAGAAAGTACTACGTAATAAGTGGTTACATTTGTAAGGACACGTCAAATTAAATGCATACATTTTACATGGTATAATATTGGTATTAATCGATATTTTAATGTATCAAAAGTTTCGATCAAGCAAAACGATAAGTATAGCCGTTAAAGAAGCGTTGCACATCATTTTGCAAACACACAATATTACAACAGCACATCCAAAGCTTTCCGTGATAAATAGGTTCGCAAGTGATAAAGCAGGATTCTTCTAGATGTACCTCACCTGTTCGGAGGCATATAATTGCGCCATTTGTATTTGCATTTGTTGTTGTCGTACTTTATCACGCATCTTACGGGGATACACCTCCTGCCCAAATGATATGGAAAAAACAAAAAAGTAGGCAGCATAAACAAAAGGGGATCATGCGCCGGTCACGTCCTAGTGAAGCATTTACAAAAATCGTGTTTTAAGAGAAAAGCTGATAAAAAAATTGCTATAGGGTGATAGCTGATAAGTCACAAAACTTTAAAACCACAAAATTGAAATATGAACGTAGTATGTTAACTATATCTAACACAGACACAATGAACAAAATAAAATATGTGGTATAGTAACTGTGTTATAAACAATGGGTTGGATGTGCTGATGATGTGCTTCAAGTTAACCATAACTTTACGTACCTGGAATTGACTCTGCTTTTTGCTCTCTTTGGCTGCCTTATCTTTTCCAGAATCTTCTTTCTTATCCTTATCTTTATTTTTTCCATCTTTTTTGCCATCTTTCTTCCCATCTTTACCATCCTTTCCATCTTTTCCGTCCTTATCTTTGGTCTTCTTCTCTTTTTCTTTCTTCTGTTTCTTTTCTTTGGGTGGAGGTTTCGGTTTCGGAGGGCTTCCACTGCAACATGCGCTTTCTGAAAAATTAGTAGCAGCAATGCTCTCAGTATTCTTTTTTATTCGCAATGATTATCTGAGTTTATGTGATGGAAAGCCAAAGTACCTTGAAGTAGGAAGCAGAATACATATAGCAAGAACAATATGCTCATGCCATACAAGTAAGTGAAAAATCCCTCGTAGTAGTAGAGAGGCAGGTTGTGAGTGATTACATCGCTGATGACGTAAGCAATGCACACAACTACCAGAAGCTTCGCATAGATGAAACTCGAGATAATGAATAGCGAAGTTCTGAAAATGAAAAAAAAAATAAAAATCATTTTTGAAGACAATGGCAACTAATTGTTTATAGATTTATGAAACTTAAAATGTTTATTCATATATAACAACATTTGTGTAAGAATAATTAATTATATGTAGCTTTTGTTATATTTAAATAGTTTGACTGAAAAATACAACTGATTGATAAATGATACTAAAAGAAACCTGTATGTCAAGAAGAAATGTTTTTTTCTTAATATTAATCAATATATAAAATAAAATCATAAGTTATAAATGTTCATACAAATAGATGTCATGAAGCCAAAGTGACCATGGGTGCCCCTTTGTCAGTGTGGTTGTTACCTTTTTACGACTACACTGAAACGTTCTTGACGGGGAGATTGCTCTCATCTTGACATAGACTTCTTTTTAGCTCGAGCACTTGTAGAGACTAGAGAGCATGTACATTGCATATATTGTGGAAATTACAATAAACAATACTTTAAATATTAATGAATATAATATTATGTAACAGAAAGACGATCATGTTGATTAAACATTAAAATGTTCATTTTCACTTCTTAAGAATGATATAAAATAAAACCAGTTCTGTTATAAAACCTATTTTTAACATTATAATTTATAAAACATTTTATATTATATTAATTAAAGTAAAGCAACCAGATTTTGCATATTTCAGAGAATCCAGGTTAAGTATACTACAAATGCATAACCGTATTCATTAACCGCCGCGTTATAGAATTCTGGGTCATGGTTAAAAGAAAGTCAAAATCCCGCATATAATAATGCAATATAAAATAAGTTAAATAATAAAAAGGGGAAAAAATTACATTAAAAAAAATGCAAAAAAATACCAAGAGAAATACAAAATGTATGTAATAACTTATTTTAAAAGTTTAAATTCTATTATCATTTTTACAGGCTTCATTTTTATCTATTTTATTGAAAATTTTGCAATTTCATATATTTTTTTTATAATTTAGATGAGATTTTTTTATTAAAAAAAGTAAAAAAGCAATTGAGATGGCCATAAAATTTTATATATGTTATGATTTTAAATCTAGAACAGCTCATACTTCTTTGATGGTTTTGGTTGAACGCATTTCAGCTCCATTTCTTTGTTGGCGTTGTTGTGCTTTTCGGCAATAGCAATATCACTGCCCTGCTGACGGTGTTGGCCGACTGGCAAGGTGGCCATGTTATCCACCGAATCCAGCTCCACAGTGGCCACCTTCACTTCAGCCTCCATGGGCTGGTGCTTATCCTTCCCCATTTCACTTCACTTAAACTAGGGGGCACTTCACAAAACGTTGGACATAGCACAGGATACTGTTATAAGGATAAGAAGCAGGGTAAGAAAGGTTTTAAGGGAGCCTTTTCAAGGCAAAAGATTCCGGAAACACGAAGGTGCGGCTTTTGCCAGTACCCGCGGCTCGAGTGCGCCGAGAGTTGCGCAGAAATGGATGCTGCGCGTAAGAACTCCCAAACTAGGGGCGGCAATAACCGACGCCCCTATATTCTAAATTGTATTAATGATATGAGGGATTTTGTAGTACTACGTAGGGTGGTTATTGGGAGGGTCGTTTAAACAATGCGTTGAGTGCATCGTGTAAGCTATTTTTGGAGAAAGGTATTAAATGGAAAGGAAAAAGTACAATCTTATTACTTTTTTCTTAATTGTACTCGTATTATTATTATACCAATTACAAAAAATGAATGCTCAAGATTTATATAATAAGTATTTTAAATAATTAATTATAGCTATAACAGTTTACTAGCTTGAGACACTATTAGAGATTAATTGATATAAAAAATTGTGTATAAAATTTATTGTTATATAAGGTTATATCCAAAAACTGGCAGCCCTAATCTGGCGGCACGCGGTCGATATAGGCGCGTCTCTCCCAGAAGCTTTAGGAAGCTGCGCGACCTACTGACCCGGCCTTTAGTTGAAAACACCCATCAAAATTACCTTCAGTCAGAAATCAGAAACCATCGCCTACGGATGTGCCAACCCTAGCATCTCATAGCATGTATACACATGAAGGTTGAATGTCCGCCTATTATAAGTCGCTAAAAGTCACATAATAGCTGTCTCGAAGGATAAAAGCGGCGCGCATGCTCGATCCAGATTGAATAGTGACCGTAACAGGGCGCTGAACTCTAATGAAAGCACAACACTACGTAATACTGAACTCGTCCACTTCAAATAATAGAGCTTTAGGTCAAGCGTTTTAGAGAAGTATCTAACGAGATAAATAGCGATAGGAGATAGAGAAATATCGATAAATAAAATATAATACTGTTTTATTTTTATTACACTAAGCGTGATTTAAACACAAACTGTTTGAGGTCAAGCAGGTACAACTCTATTTCATAGCAGGCCTGTCGTGACTATTGCTTTATAGCACAGGACGTCAAGCTCTAAGTTTAGATCAATTTGTGTCTTGGAAAGTATTTTAAAAAACACAATCTAATTTACAAATATCTCGTTCGATAAACGTTTCGGAAACCTTTAAAATTAACATAAAATCTACTAATTATTATAATTAATTACCAACAAAGAGTTGAATATAGCTGCTCATAAGATCATGTTTTACTATTAGAATTAAATGAATTTCTTGGCAGCACTGTCGGATCAAGTTTTTTTTGTATTATTTTCACAACTGAACAGGCATATAAAATGTAAAGTCCCAAATTTCAAGCTGCCATTACACAACTTCAGTAAAGTTTCGATTTTACTGCTGAAAAAGTTTAATTCTTTTTCAAAGCTTGGAAATGAAACTAAGTGGCAATATGGATCTTTTTAACCGACTTCATTTATATAAATCATTATATTAGCAGGCCATACCTTCTTCTAAAATTATTTATTTTATAAAAAAAATTTAAGACACTAACATTTTTTAGCAAAATATATTTTAGTAATATATTTTTATTCTTACAACAGAAGCTTTTTAAGCTTTTCTCGTAATCTGTTTAAAACGAATGCATCGCACTAATTATATAAATTGGAAAATATATGAGTTAATTAGTGTACGTTTGCTTGGTTCTTCTTCACGCTATAGCCTGTAACGTCCTAATTTGAGTACAATAAAGAATGGACATAGATGTTTTAGCTATATATCATCATATATATATACATATATGATGAGATATATAGCTAAAACATCTAAAAAGTGGATAAATATTTATAAAATAAATAAAATTAATACTTTCTTAGATTTACGCGAATATTTGAAATTTTAAAGAAAACTATCTTTTCGGATTTTTTCGCGAATTTATTTTGATTTTTGGTTCCCGACGTTTCGAATGCTTTACACCAATCATGGTCACGGGAGAGACTGAGGTGTTAGATGTCTCATAGGTATTATATAGTTGTTACAGATCTGTAACAACTATCAATCAATCATATCAAAATAAATTCGTGAAAAAATCCGAAAAGATAGTTTTATTTAAAACAAATAAAATTATTGCCTCAAAACGTTGCTTAGTTTCATTTCACTTAAATAAATTCTCAGAATACTACTTGAATCTCTCACAATTTGCAGTTTCTTCAAATGGATTCACATTAAGGGAAATGGCTCACATTTCTAAAGCCGCAGGAAAAACTAGTGTATGCACAAAATGCCCCCGTAGGTATCGGAGTAACAGACTTTTAGAAAGAGATATTTACGATTAAATCTGAATGAAATGAAACGAATATTTAGATATCCCAGGTTCGTAATAAAAACTTTATTACGAACCTGGGATACCACCCAGCAACTTATATCGATTTTAACTTATGTTAATGGAATAATTAAATTTTAATCATAAAACTAAAAACAATTTTTTTTTATAAAAATGTAATTTTTTAACATGGCAATTTTAATAATATTGGGGCTTGCTACCGTATCCTTAAAATCTAAAGATAGTCATAGCTCTCATTGCAAAACCTAACTAGTTCCAAGAAGGCATTAATTTAATTAGCTGTACACCCTACTTCGTCATTCGATATGTTAAAATTGCCATACGTATTCTAAGTAGAAACTGCGAAACTATTTAAGATATATCCTAAAGAATATCTATGTATATATAATAGAATTTTCATGGGACGGCTTTACGTAACTATGTATTTCTGTTTAGTAATAGACAACTAATCAAAAACCATGTCTATAAAGAGTTCAAGCTGCATTTTATGTGTATGTACTTAAAATCTATCTAATTTTGCTAGGTCATGAACAAGTCATAGATAAATGAACGATATTACAAATGTCAAATATCGATATTTTCTATATAATTAGTTTAAGGACCAGAGTAAAGTTACCATTATAAAAAATTAAAAACATTTAATATAGATAAGTCGAATGAGGAGATACCATAATATTACTTTGTAGCAAAAATATATTTAGGGATAGTGATACGTTCAATAAGGTACAGGTCCTACAATAGGCAGCTATATTCCAAAAAAATAAAATCAATCTGCACGAACACTCTTTTTCACTATAAAAAAATTTGAAGCGATTGTTATATTCTGACTAGAACACACCGATAGCGTGTTTTAAAAGGTTGTGCAACGCTATCTATCTACATATGTTTTAGCTGTTACATCTCTCTTTAAATTAATAAATAATTTAATTTATTCTACAAAGGCACACATGACCATTTAAACAAAAATTAAAATGTTCGTTTGTGCAAAGCCAAAAACTTTACAGATTGTGACGACACGTTTGGCTCAGTGTGTAGTGACCCTACTTGCTGTGCTAGAGGTCGCTATTTCGAGTCTCGCTGGGGGCATTCATTTGTGTGATGAGCACTAATGTTTGTACTTCAGTCATGGGTGTTTATATTTATAATATGTATGTATATAAAAGTTATATACGTGTAGTGTATCAACTATCTGGTATCCAAAACACAGGCCTCGTAGCTTACTATGGAACTAGATGGTACTGTGTGTTAATGTCCTAACATATATATGTCCTAACATATTTACAGATTACTTTAATTTAGATATACCTACTCGCATACATAATATAAGTGTTATAAGTATACAGGAAAGCTCGTTATTGTTGAAGTTATAAATGATGAAAATATTGTTTAATCTTATATTTATTATCCAAAAAAACCCCATTAGGTTTCTATTATATAAGACCATTTAATTCAAATCAAAAATCTTTGCAAAGCCTTTTGCTTTTACTGTTACTGTACCATGCTAGCAGTAGTTTACGACATACTGCCAATATTACATATTACATATAAAAATCTGTATTATTTAGTAGATTTGAAGTTAGTATTCTAATAACATGTAGACTGAGCAATAAATAGAAAAATGAGTTATTTAATCCAATAAAGATCAATCGGATAAGTTATAAATAAGCGTACAACAGGTATTATGTATCTAATTTTATTTAGCCAAGAATAAGCCTGCACAGTAATTATTTAAATGATTGTGGATCATGGGGTCCTGTTTTCGATTCCCGTGTGGAGTCAAAAGAGCTTTTGTATCTTATATGAAGGAATCCGAAGTCTAAATTCTAGTGCTAATGAACATTCTTGTAATTGCGTAATAGAATTTTACAAGTTTGGGGGTTGAGTTCTGTTCATTTGGCAGATTCATTTTTAAATGTACCCAAAGATCGTGGCAGACTGGATTTTTCTTTATCATCTCCCAAAAAATAGCTAACATGCATGTTTATTATGCCGTACTCATGTATTTTTAAGTTCTGTAATAGCGTAAATGGCTGTAGAATTTCATCTTGTCTAAGCAATCAGTGATTTAAAATAATGGAATAGCACCTACTAACAATTCTAATTACGTTGACGACGCTGTTGTAATTCTAATTACCCACGCTAAATCTTTCAATGACATAATATCGGCCAAACTAACCTTGCCGCTGCATACAATGCATCGTTACAATGTTTATAGCCGTGTGAGGCTTTTTTTAAAACATATATAAAAGATGATTAAATATTTCGGTTTATAAGCGTACTAGCAGAACCCGCGGCTTCGCTCGCGCTAAAACTACAAAAAACTCTAAAAAGGTAGGTTTCATACAAACTTTCATCCTCTATTTTACCCCCTTAAGGGATGAGTTTCGAAAAATGCTAAAACACGTATTTCTTTAATTGTATTGAAGAGCATTAATACCAAGTTTTAAGTAATTTTGATAATTTTTTTTTTGGTTGTATTATAACGTGTTTTCCCGTTGGAATGAGATAATCTCCGGCGATAAAAAGCCTATGTTACTCTCCAGCCCTCCAACTATCTCCACACAAAAAATCACGCCAATCCGTCACTCCTTTTCGACGTGAAAGAAAAACAAACAAACAAACAAACAAAAAACCAACAAACAAACAAACAAACAAACAAACAAACAAACAAACAAACAAGCAAACAAACCAACAAACAAACAAACAAGCAAACAAACACACTTTCACATTTATAATATTAGAATGGAAGTATGGATACGCTTGCATTGAAATTAGTAAGAATGAAGGCCTTTTACTTAGTTTTCGCCGGAGAAATTTTAGTACTCCCTAATATTAATAAGATAATAAAAAAACGAAGAAACAACAATCCTTATCAATCAAGCAATGTCAGATAAAGAAAAAGATTTAATTTATTGTCGAGAACTTCTACGTCTAAGGAAATATTTTGAAATGATTGTGAAACTCAAGTGAACTCAATTACACAACAATAAATACGGAATCACATTTTCAACTGGCTTTTATTACGAAGTTATTTGTTAATATGATGAAATTGAATTCATTTCATGAAAAAAAGGGATTTGTCATTTAATAAATCCCATTTATCTATAGGTACATATAATAAAATTGTAACTAAGCCGAATCTGTACATTAAATATTTTTTGGAAAATCTTATTGAAATAAACATTATTATCGATACAGAGGCCGAATCTATAGTTTTTAGAATTTTTGTCTGTCTGTCTGTCTGTTACCGCATCACAGAAAAACTACTGAAGGGAGTTTGATGAAATTTGGTATGGTGATAGCTGGTTATCTGGGTCAACATATAGGATACTTTTTACCGCGGGAAAAGGTCTTATTTCTGAGAAAAAATACAATAACTGCAATGTAAGAGTATACTAATATGTATAACCTAATAATTTGGTTTTTAGTCATCTGAACCTTTGTTTAAAAGAGCCAAACAAATCTATTTCGACTTTTTTTAGCTCTTTTAGATTTTGACTTTGGAGTTCATTAACGAAAGCACTGTCATAGCATTCAAGGTCTAGGCATTAGTCTTAGTGTTAGTCAGTTACTCGAAAGTAAGAATATATAATGTGATATGTAACATGCGGAAAAACACTTCCACCATGAACCTTAAAAATATTTTAAACGCCGCCTTACGAATATTAATCAGCAGCTGAAAGATAGAACGATAAACATAAGCCCATACCAAATTCGTCTATAGATGAGGACACGCCATTAATGAAACATGAGAAATGATGACGTGATTATGAAATATCTATGCGATTCGCCAGTGGTAGAAGTTTCTAATTAAATTTTATCAAATATAAAATAAAGGATAAGCTTCATAAAGTGTAATGTGTTGTTTGATTGATACTGGTCTGTAGGCCATGATTTATAAGTATATCTTAGCTTTCTAGAGAAATATTACTTATTATAGTATATTATACATTTTTTGTAACATCTATAGATATAATAAAATTGTAACTAAGCCGAATCTGTACATTAAATATTTTTTTTGGAAATCTTATTGTAATAGACGTTATTATCGATACAGAGGCCGAATCTATAGTTTTTAGAATTTTCGTCTGTCTGTCTGTTACCGCATCATGGAAAAACCACTGGAGGGATTTTGATGAAATTTGGCATGATGGTAGCTGGTTATCCGGGTATATAGGATACTTTTTACGGCGGGAAAATATCTTATTTAAGAGAAAAAATACAAAAACTGCAATGTAAGAGTATACTAATATGTAAAACCTAAGAATTTGGTTTTTGGTCATCTAAACGCGGGCGGAGCCGCGGGTAGTGCTAGTAATTTAATAAAAGAGTTTGTTTCTTAATATTTTAGAACATTATCTGCTTACGTGCCAAAGATTATATGTACTTAAAAACAAATTCCACTCGTTATACGTCCAGGAACACCCAATACCGTAAACAATATAAGATGTAAGAAAAGTTATTTTAGTTCATGGTAATTATAGAAAATCGATCGTTCGCTTATCAAAGGATCGTCCTTTTCACACAACCCTTTTACGGCTGAAGTCTGTTAATGCCTCAGAATACTCATCAACCGTCCCAACAATCCCATCACACGTGTTCTTTTGATGTATGTACGTATATATAGGAACCATTTAATCGATTGTCCATCCATGCAACATGGAAGTGCTTTGATTACAGCTTCCTCCCCTTTATTTATTTTTAAATTGTATGATGAAGTTTTTGTGTCGGTTTTATTTGTCCCCTATGAATTAATAGGTCAATTCATGACTTGCCTGACCGCTGCTCTAGATGTTCATGTATTATTGAATACCGATATAAATAGCTCTGATAAGATCCAATTACGTATGGATATATGTGTTACAAAAATCTTTTGAAATGTCTGTTTTGTTGAAATCAACACACAATTAGTACATTTTTATATCTATGAGAAATCTCTATTAAATGCTTTGGCATTATGTGCTTAAGTAATTTTCTTTACTTTTCTTTCAAAACTTAATAAGAATATTTATAAATATTAAAAAATGTTCATTACATTATTTGTTTTGCGAAGAGCGAACATAATACCATGCTTCAAGTTTTTCTTTTTTCAACTTCTACTTTTTGCGTTTACATGTTTGCTAAAGATTAATGATGATATGGGTACTTTATACTTTCTTAGATTTACGCGAATATTTGACTTTTTAAAGAAAACTATCTTTTCGGATTATTTCGCGGATTTATTTTGATTTTTGGTTATTTTAATATGATGGTCTTTGAACATATATTTATATACATTATTAACTATGTGTGGTAGATACATATATGTAATTCTAAAACAGAAAATGATAGAACTTTTGCTCAACGTACTTGGCATTTTTTGGTTTTGTCTCAGGCTGGCAGCACGCTCGGTATCGTAACACCGCTTCTGTGGGAGTCAAGGCATCGGTCTCGTCCGCCGGCGCTTCGCACTCGTCCGTGACGAGTGGAGCGCGAGCCGGCGACGTGTGGGACCCGTACCCGTCGGAATTCAGCTAACAACAAAATAACAATGTTTAGTTTGTTTTAGTTGCTTAGAAATCAATAAATAGTTTGCCAATTGAGTTAGCAAATAAGAAATCACAGGTTGGTATATCCATTTGCCATACGATCGTCTATTAAATGGGGAACTCGCGTTTAGACGGTTCATACAAAAAGTATGTCAGTTGATTGCTGGTATCAAGTACCCAATTTTAAATGATCTAAGTATGTCTACATATGTAATTACAAAGAATACTGGGAACTTTATTGCAATGCAATATTTCAAACAATATAATACAAAAGCCTATGAGAATCATGAATGTTCATTAGCAAAACGAATACGCTTTAACATTTAATATACATTTTATAACTTTTAATGGAAATTTCATACATAATGCCCATACAGGGATAAAATTAAACTTCAAAAAGATATAGGTTAAAGACTCTCTAATATGTTTATTCCTTTGAGATGTACGCTCTAATTTTAGCGAACTCGCATGAAGGTAATGTGTGGAATGAAAAATATGTAACGGGGTTTAACTGAACCACCATACACGACGTATAATAATTTTACTAAGAACTATACACCATGAGATAGTAACAAATAGATCCCAGGCATTTGGAACAAGTATAATGATTATTTAAAGGATGAACCATGTAATAAAAAAAAACAAAAAACATATTTTTAAATTTAACAAAAATCATCGTATGTACCATATTCTAAATATTAAAAAATTACATGATAGGTAATGAAAACCTACCTTTATAATATGTAGGTCTAAATAACCCTGAACTACAAAATAATTGAACAAGTTTCTCTGGTATATAGAATATTTAACATTTCTCGTTATACATAAAAGTCTGATCTGTTATTTTTGATTAAACTTTTTAAAAAGAATAAACTTACTTTGACGATAGTGCCGACCTGTGGGTCGGGCAGCGGCTCAGCCTGCGAGCGATCTCGCTCTACGCCGTCAATAGGTGCGCCAAGCAGCCGCTCCTTCATCTCGTGGATGTAGGGGCAACGCTGCATCGCGATGTAAAACTCGCGGACGCGCACCTGTTAGAAAAATATGTCTACTTTTAAATATTATTTATTGTAAAACGTATTACTCCTGTGCCAGATTTCACCAACGTCACCTAATTTTAAGGGATCCCCTAAGCCTGGTTAGGGGGCTGTTAGGGGACAGTTTCTGTTTCACCGACAATTAGGGGTCACCTAAATATTAAAAGGCCGCCTAAATTTAGGTGCTCGAAATATGGGCTTAAAGACGATCGTAAAACGAAATTTAATTTAGGGGCCTAGTTTAGGAGACTTTTAAGCTAGGGATCCCATACGTAGGTGGTAGCTTATGGGTTGTTGGTGAAATCGGGCACTGGTCTTTTGTAAATGACATACTAATTATTATATGACGGGAAATGCGAGTATATGGAAGTAATAAATGTATATCATTCTTCAGCTTTTCAACTATTTTTAACCAAAGAGGTATGACGATTTGTTGCTTAGTTTCTGTTTAAAAAAAGAACAAACCAATGAAAATATTTTTGATTTTATAATAAGTATCAGTTTAATTCTAATAAGAGATAATTGTAAATGGTCAGTTCAATGTGTTATAGTAAAATTTTATATTGAATTTAATTATTTTAAGAAGACCACAGCTCTATCTAATTTAACGTACTAACGAGACGTGACGACATGACGCATAACACGGATGAAGGAGTTATTTGTTATTTTGACGACACGTTTGGCTCAGTTTGTAGTGACCCTACTTGCTGTGCCAGCGGTCGCGGGTTCGAGTCCCGCTGGGGGCATTCATTTGTGTGATGAGCACGAATGTTTGTGTTCCAGTCATGGGTGTTTATATTTATAATATGTATATATTTAAAGTTATATATGTGTAGTGTATCAACTATCTGGTATCCATAGCACAGACCTCATAGTTTACCATGGAACTAGATGGTGCTGTGTGTTAATGTCCTAACATATAACATATATAACATATTTATTATCCTGTTATAGTTTTTTTTTTAAAAATAATATGCACAAATTATTTATCTTTGTTGTAATCATTTTATTTGGCTAATTCATAGATATATATAAAATTACCATGTCACAATGTTTGTTACCGTACTCCTCCGAAACGGCTTTACCGATTTTTACCAAATTTTATATGCGTATTCAGTAGGTCTGAGAATCGGCTACTATCTATTTTCCATGCCCCTAAGTGATAAGGATAAGGGTGGTCCTCCCAGACCCCACCCCAGGGACGAACCCGAGCGGAGCGAGGGTGAGTCGCTAGTAGATATATACAATTCTGATAAATATAGTTCGTAACTAAAGAGAACATGATTGTTACAAATAGATATTACATACACATTACAAGTAGATTTACGCCCAACACAAGATAATTTCCGATGTAACACGGACTTATTCACTATTCAACAATTACAATACAGTCTCCAGTGCATTTACAAGGCGACACTCAGCACAATGCTTACCCATATCGTGACATTGCTTCCGACCTCGCTTTTAAAACGACGCGACCATTTTGTCTCAAAAACATAGCCTTGGAATATTTGATCGATAACTTGTTTTATATTAACAATAATAAACAGTCTAACAACATATTGCACTCAGATTGTTCTATTAAATGAGAAATATTTAGTTTATTGGATCTATATTTATTTTAATAGCTATAACACGTGCTACAAACACGTATCGCGCGCCACACTTGTACCAAACCAACTTGACAGATATATTATGGTGAAAATAAACACACTTCTGAAATCAACGAGAATACAGCTTATGTATAGATTATATCTAAAATATGTATTTCAAATTTTAAACGATTTAAAAAAAAATAACTTTGCCTGAAGTAGATGATAATAGAGAGATGAGGCGTTAAGATCAGTCACTTTTACATACAAAAATTTTAGATGTTTTTCTGCAAAAATTCACAAATTTCATATTTATAAAATACATATATTCATTTAAAGTTGTTTGTTCGAACGTTTAGTGCATTAGCAATAAATAATTTTTACTAAATAATGACTGAACAAGTCTTTAGCCTACTAAATACTTTTATTAACTACTAATAAAATCTCTACCTAAATCTTTAAGGTAGCATAATATTAAACGAACTAACAAATTATTACAACGGATAGTTAGAAATTTGCGTAGTTAATTTTTAAGCAAATAAAATAATCTTTAAATAAACATACATTCGTGTTTCAACGGTACTTATATGGAAATAGCTTCCTATCTTGGTAACGACAGACAGAGTAAAAACTTGCTAAGCTAGAGAACTTACTTTTTATCCGACTGCGCGACGCAAACGAGGGTAATGTGTTTATCAGCCTATGTATGTATGTGGGTTCGTACCTTTGTGACACTATTTAGACCAAACGCGTGGGCCGAATTGATAAATAACACGTTGTTTGCTTCGTTATGATGACGCGAGTGCTATAGAAAGCATAAAAATTAAAAAAAAATCAAAATGGCCGGTTTGGGACGCCATAAAGTGAAAAAGAAAAAATGAAAATCGACGAGCTATGTCAAGTGGGATATCGTTCAATAGGTATTTATAAATCATTTTTAGGATTCTTTCATTTTAAATAACAATTTAGGATATATAATGATTTAAAGTGTTTAACAACTATTCTCGCTAATTTTGTACTTAAAAATACTTAAAAAGCTAGCTGTAAATAAATAAATATATAATAAAAATGAAAACCCGACTGCATAAAAGCTATCTAAGAAGATGAAAACAAGTTCCCGAAGGAAACTTTAGGACATAGTATTATGCAGTCGGAGATAAGTATATATACGAGACTTTACATCTCGCGCAAGGATGAAGCGCAATAGAACCCAAAACATTGATTTTAGATTTTTTTTCTATTGGCCTGTTTGTCTGTGCGTTTGTGCGCGCTAATCTAAGAAATGGCTTAACTGATTTGGGTGCGGTTTTCACTAATCTATTTTAGTAAGCTTCACTTAACATTCAGTATTGAATTTATTTCAATCGGGTCATAAATAAAAAAGCTGTGTTAACTTATAGAATCATCTAGAAACGAACCCGAGCGAAGTGAGGATGAGTCCACAGTTTCAAATAAAAGTCTTACTGAATTAAAGTCACATATAATATATATATATATATATATATATATATATATATATATATATATATATATATGTATATGTATATATATATATATATATATATATAAAGAAAAAAGAACATTTTTATCAGCATTCATAAGTCATAACATATCAAATGCTTATTAAAAGAACATATAACAGTATTCTACAACAAAAGCTGCGAGATTGAGGTTAATTAAAAAAACAACACATTTCTAATTCCAGCTTCATCGGCAATATAAATGTTTTGTGCAGAAAAGCGGCCACTGTGTTTTTACTGAGTGAAACGATCGCAATGCGTAGGAAATACCGACAGTCCCATCCGCCTCATGTGGGTGGCTCTCCATACATGGTATAATTGAGACAAGCAGATATTAATTACTTGATCATTTCATCAAAGATAATATTTATTATTATTATTAAATAGCCGTTATTATTTTTCGAGTGAGTAAGAAAGACAAAAGGAAAGGTAAACGAAAATTTCCACAAATACGTGTGAGGCGCTGTTTTCTCTAAGTTTTCTCAGCAACAGGAGGTTTTTTATAAGCAATAAGTAATAACTAATTCAGAGATACTATTGGACCCAGTTATGCAAAAAACAGCCATGTGCGTAAAAGTACCAACAGAGTTATAAGCATTTTTCTGTCGATAGTTGCACTTGGGTAATGTTTTGTTTTTCTGGTTACTTTAAAATTAAACAATATTTATATAAGTATTGTTTATTTTTTATAATTATTTTATTTTTTATAATAAAATGCTTAATGCTTAAATGTTGGTACTTTTACGCACATGGCTGTTTTTTGCACAACTGGGTCCTATTTGCTATCGCCAGCCAATATGACTTTGACGTGTCACGTCACGGCCTGACAGACGGCACGACATACGTATGCATATAGTTATATGTATATGGTATCTTGAGTGTGTAAATGTGTGAAAATTATAATATTTTGATACAATTTTAGTTTTGAATTTCATAATTTCATTTTATTATCATGTTCATTATTAAGTAAATATATCATTTGATTTTTCGACAAAGACGCACAGTTTACGTGATTGCATTTTATAATTTCGCCATATTCCTTAATTACTTTAAAAAAAACCAACAATTAAAAAGAAGTTAACGAAAATTTCACCTTTAAATAGAGAAAATTAAAGTATGGGAAATAGTTTTAAATAAAACTATCTTTTCGGATTTTTTCGCGGATTTATTTGGATTTTTGGTTCCCGACGTTTCGAATGCTTTACAGCAATCATGGTCATGGGAGAGACTGAGGTGTTGGATGTATCAAAGGTATTACATAGTTGTTACATTCAGCATAACAACAAATAACAAAATGAATTCAAAAAATGAAATTTTTTTTGCAAACACTGATACAGTTTTACTTGTTAGCTTCGGACACTACAAGCGATATAATAAAACTAGGCCACTGGACTCGGACTGTAAAGTAACAGAAACTTATTATTTACGCTGACAGTTTTTAATCTACTCAATAGAAGTCAAGGCGAGTGAAATTTGATCGAGTGTTGCGCAGATGATAAATGAGTCAATTAAAACACGTGTTTTGTTTCTAATAACTAATAATACATAAATTATAACTGTACATAATTATAACTGTACATATTTATCTATACATATAATAAAATTCTAACTAAGCCGAATCTGTACATTAAATATTTTTTGGAAAATCTTATTGAAATAGACATTATTCTCGATACAGAGGCCGAATCTATAGTTTTTAGAATTTTTGTCTGTCTGTCTGTCTGTTACCGCATCACGAGAAACCACTTGACAGATTTTGATGAAATTTGGTACAATGATAGCTGGATATCCGGGTCAACATATATATACTTTTTACCGCGGGAAAATATCTCATTTTTGAGAAAAAATACAAAAA